GACTACATCTGGATCACTCTGATAAAAGTAAATTAATAGTTTAAGAGAAAAAAGGTAAAAATGAAGGCAGTCTGGCATATCAAAATCAACACATACACTAGACTGAGAGAGACATGCGTTCAAATCCCAGCTGCAGGAACAAGCTGCCTATGGAGGAGTCACATTAATTTTTAATCCTCTATAAAATGGGCATAATAACTCCTTACTTTTCAGGTTCCTGTAAGTAATAAAAAAGAATGTATGTAAGAGCTTATCACAGTTCGTGTCATATGAGTTCAAAAAAAGTTTTCTTCCACTTTGTTTCCTTTCTCTAAAAAATACTAATGATATTATAGTCAAACACAATTTTTGAAATATTTATGAATAAAAGGTAGTTTGATTTTAAATAACCTATCACAGATTTTAATCTAGTGGTCACTGTGTAAACTATGAAATATGTTATTTTCTTTTTTTTTAAAGATTTTATTTATTTATTCATGATAGACTCAGAGAGAGAGAGAGAAAGAGAGAGAGAGAGAGAGGCAGAGACACAGGCAGAGGGAGAAGCAGGCTCCATGCAGGGAGCCTGATGTGGGACTCGATCCTGGGTCTCCAGGATCACACCCGGGTTGAAGGTGAAGGCGGTGCTAAACCGGTGGGCCACCGGGGCTGCTCTAAAATTTTTTTAAATTTATTCATTTGAGAAAGAGAACATGCAAGCAAAAGCACAAGGGCAGAAGGAGAGGGAGAAGCAGACTCCCCGTTGAGCAGGGAGCCAGACTACTCAGTACTTGATCCCAGGACGGTGAGATCATGACCTGAGCTGAAGGCAGACACTTAACTGACTGAGCCACCCAGGTACCCCTAACTTTTTTTTTTTTTAATGAAAATGGAGAATTTATTAGAAAACTACAAGGGCCTCCATCAGAAATGCCTAAAGACTCATAGAGGGAGATCAGGACTGCCTCTCATAGAGGGAGATCAGGACTGCCTTTTACTAGTTCAAGTACAATTGGTACAATTAGAATTTTAAACAAGGCCTTAATTTTTGTATGACATTCTACTTTATTTTTTTTATGTTTTACTTTAAATATCCATTACCTTATTTGATTTTCAGAAGAATATGAAATAATACAATAGTAACAGCTAATGCTTTTGTACCTCTTACCATATGCCAAGTGTTGTTTTAAGACATTATCCTCACAACAATCTTGTAAGGTAGGTACTACTACTATTGTCCCCATTTTGTACTTTTGAAAAATTCTAATATAGTTAACAATGTTAGTTTCAGGTGTACAATACAGTGGCTCAAAAATTCTGTATGTTACTCAGTGCTCATAATGAGTGTACTCTCGATCCCCTTCACCTATTTCACATTACTTCCCTCCTCTACACACACACTTATCTCCCCTCTGGCAACTACCAGTTTGTTCTCTGTATTTAAGAGTCTGTTTTGTTTGTGTCTTTTCTGTTGTTGTTCATTTGTTTTCTTTCTTAAGTCCCACATGAGTGAAATCTATGGTATTTGTCTTTTTCAATCTGACTTACTTCACTTAGCATTATTCCCTCTAGATCCATCCATACTATTGCAAATGGCAAAATTTCATTCATTTTCATGACTGAGTAAATAGTTCACTCTGTGTGTGTGTGTGTCTCTGTGTATCACTTCTTTATCCATTCATCTATGGATGGGTACTTGAGTTGCTTCCATATATCTTGATTACTGTCAATAATATTGCAATAAACATAAGGGTGCATATATATTTTTGAATTGGTGTTTTTATTTCCTTTGGGTAAACAAATATCCAATAGTGGAATATCTGGGTCATACAGTAATTCTATTTTTAATTTTTTAAATAACCTCTATACCATTTTCCATGGTGGCAACTGCACTTTGCATTCCCACCAACAGTATACAAGTACTCCTTTTTTTCCATATCCTTACAAACACTCATTTCTTACATTTTCTATTTTAGCCATTCTGATAAGTGTGAAGTGAAATTTCATTGTAGTTTTGATTTGTTTCCCCGATGATGAGTGGTGTTGAACACTTTTTTCATATGTCTGTTGGTCACCTGTATGCCTTCTCTGGAAAAATGTTAATGTCTTCTGCCCATTTTTAATTGGTGTTGAGCTGTAGAAGTTTTTTACATATTTTGGATATTAACTCTCCCATCAGATATATCATTTACAAATATCTTTCCCATTCAGTAGGCTGTCTTTTTGTTTTGTTGATGGTTTTCCTGGCTGTGTAAAAGCTTTTCATTCTGATGTAGTCTAAAGAGTTTATTTTGGCTTTTGTTTCCCTTGTCTCAGGAGACATATCTAGAAGAATGCTGCTATGGCCAATGTCAGAGAAATTACCACATGAACTCTTTTCTAGGATTTTTTTATTTCAGGTATCACATTCAGATTTTTAATCGATTTCAAGCTTATTTTGATGTATGATGTAAGAATGTGGTCCAGTTTCATTTTTTTGCATGTAGTTGTCTGGTTTTCCAACACCATTTGTTAAAGAAACTATCTCTTTCCCATTGTATGCTCTTGCTTTCTTTGCCATTAATCAACTGACTATATAATCATGGATTTAGTTCTGTAATATAGATCTGTGTGTCTATTTTGTGCCAGTACCATACTATGTTGTTTACTATTTTGTGGTATATCTTGAAATCTGGGATTGGGATACCTCCAGGTTTGTTCTTTTTCAAGATTGCTTTGGCTATTCAAGGTCTTTTGTGGTTCCATATAAATTTTAGGAATATTTTTTCTAGTTCTGTGAAAAATGCTGTTGATATTTTAATAGGGATTCCATTAAATCTGTAGATTGCTTTGGGTATATGGACATTTTAACAGTATTTGTTGCCTCAATCCATGAGCATGGGATGAATATCTTTCCATTTGTGTCATCCTCAATTTTCCACAATGTTTCATAGTTTTTTGAGTACAAGACTTTCACCTTGTTTAAATTCATTCCTAGGTATATTACTATTTTTGTTGCACTTATGAGATTGTTTCTTAATTTCTATTTCTGCCACTTCATTATTAGTGTATAGAAATGCAATGGATTTCTATATATTGATCTCATATTCTGCAACTTTACTGAATTCTTTTATCAGTTTTAGTAGTTTTTTGGTGGAGTCTTTTTTGGGTTTTCTATATATAGTATCATGTCATCATACAGTGAAAGTTTTACTTCTTCTTTTCCAATTGGGTTCCTCTTATTTATTTTTGTCTGATTGCTGTGGCTAGGATTTCCAGTACTATGTTGAATAATACTGGTGAGAGTGGACCTCTTGTCTTGTTCCTATGTTAGAAGTAAAGCTTTCAATCTTTCACCACTGAGTATGCTATTAGCTATGAGTTTTTCAGAGATGATCTGTATTTTGTTGAGATATTTCCTTCTAAACCTTGTTTGTTGAGGGCTTTTATTATGAACGGATGTTGTACTTTGTCAAATGCTTCTTCTGCATCTATTGTAATGATCACAGAGTTTTTTATCCTTTCTCTTGTTGATGTGATGTATCATATTAATTGACTTGTAAATATTGAACCACTCTTGCATCCCAAGAATAAATCCCACTTAATCATGGTGAATGATTTTTTTAATATATTGTTGAATTTGGTTTTCCAGTATTTATTGAAGATTTTTGCATTTGTGTTCATCAGAGAAATTGGCCTGTAATTTGATTTTTTTTTTGGTGGTGTCTTCATCTGGTTTTTGTATCAAGGTAATGCTGCCCTCATAGAATAAATCTGGAAGCTTTCCTTCCTTTTCTACCTTTTGGAATAGTTTAAGAAAAATAGGTATTAACTCTTATTTAAATGTTGGGTAGAATTCACCTGTGAAGCCATCTGGTCCTAGACTTTTGCTTGCTGGGTGTTTTTCCTGGACTACCTGAGATGAGGACCTACATTTTAGGAATGTCAGGGACTGGTCTATTTTGTGTCTGACAGTGGATATTCACTGTCACGTTCACCAGTCATATCACTCTACAAGACAGTTATCATTTTTATGATTCTTTTGGATTAAAAAAACAAAACAAAAAAACACAAACCAAACTCCGAGGCTTAGCCCAGGTCTGTGGCCAGAACATGGCAGATCCAGAATTTGAACCCAGTCCCCTTTGTAAAACACTATACTATGTTCACCTTGGTCTACAACTTAGTTGTATTTACACATAACAGATCATCTAATTTACTCAATGCAAATCCCTATTTAGACTGCCCACATCCTGCTAGACAGCATACAGGACAGTGGGAGGTGAAATGTGCTAAAAAAAGGACAAGGTTCATAGGACTTACATTTCTGTATCTCTGTCCTGTCCACCTCATATCCCACTCTCTACCTCCAAATACACGCACACTCATAAGTTTTTGCTATCAAATTAGTAGGAACTTACAGAATCCCAGCTGTATGTAAGGAACAATGCAAAAGGGGTAGGTACTGAGATAGAAAATATTCCTTTACACTTCATAAGCACCTGGTGGATAGAAAACTCTTCTCTACAAAAATGCCTCCTTCTTCCACCTGAATCAGAAGCTGGTAACTAAGTAAGGTGAAAGAGATAGGATGGCGCTAGGGCTTCACTGTAAGGATATAAATTCATCAGGGGGGCACAAAGTGAATTTGCACACATTTATGCAAACTAAAAATTTTCAAGCACTTCCAGCTCCATAAAAGCATGTGCATTCATTACATCCCAATGCAGAGGCTCCAGTTCCTACCCAAGTTTTTACCACAGCATAAGCAAGAATGGTCCTGGAAAAACAAGGGGGTACTGATGGATGGATGTTTCTATATAAAACAAGAAGGAGCTTTCCCTGAGGCCTGGCATTTGGCTGCAAACAAACTCCAGTGCTGAAGTTCAACGTATCACCGGAGCATTTGAAACCATGGCAGAAATTAAATTACTGAATGAAATGAATGCAAAGCTGCTGCTACAGTCTTTTGTACAATTTAATTTATAGTTTGCATAAATAATTATATTCATTTGTTGTTGTTTTTTTACTTTTTTTGTTACCTTGTCCTTCTGGAGTTTCACCAAAGGGATTCACTTCCACCTGAGTAGCATCAATTTTCAGGAAGAGATTGTACAGCTTCTTAATTTGATCTGCAGCCTAAATGGGATTAAGTACAATGAAATTATACCAAAGCAGTAAAAAACCATTTATTTTGCTGGATTAATGAAACCTTAAAAATAATAAGTTATGTCTTTACATTCAGTTAGGTTTTCTGAAGGGAAAAAGAGAAAAGCATAATTATTTTAATTTCCACTGCTATTCATTAGAAGGAATTGTTCAACCTTCCTCCAGACACCAGGAAAAGACTATTATCAGGAAAACAAAATATTTTCAGTATAGCCTAAAAATGTTGTTAATCTTTTTGTACATTATCATGTCCCTATTAGCCGAGTTACGCTGCAGTATGAGCCACAATCATTAATATAAACAAGCTCCATTTAAGTAAAAGGTAAACATGATTTTGAGAGTTTATAATGATTACGTTTTCCTTACTATGCTAGAATAAAACAGTTATTACATTCATCAGTCCAAACCTATAATCTGGGAAATAATTACTGAGTATATAATGGAAACTATGGCCAAAACAGGGAGATGAAAGTCCTACATAGTAAGAGTTAGGGAACAGCACAGTTCAAACTAAACAGTTTGTCCCTAAGGCATAAACCACAAAGAGCAACAATGTCCAGAGTTTCCCTGATGTTATGCCCTGATTTCATTCTTCTCATGCTGCTTGATATTCACTCACTCATTCACTCCTTTCAACCAACTGTTATGAGTGGCCTATGTCACAGCATGCTGGCATTTTGTGAAGTGGGCAAGGGAAAGACATCATGAATGGGGCCTTGACACAACCCTGGTAAGCTCATACCTATAGTGAGTACAGCCTGTGATGCCACACAGCACAACGGTGCAGTCATGGCTGAATGCTGGGTATCAGTCTCATTCTTGGCTCCACCCAAAGCCTAGCCATCATTTTCCCTTGGCAACATTCTCGCTCATTGTTCCAGCCATTCATTTTTGCCCCTCAGATCCAGTCCCAGCTTTTCCCCATCCCGACTCTGAGTATCAGGGGAGCTGACCCTTGTAGGCTGAGTTTCCAAGGCTTCTGCCCTGGATGGCTCTCAGCTCACTTCAGTCAAGGGGAAGCAGTGGTAGGAGACAGGAAGTAGTGGAAAGGAGGGGGACTTCTACCCCCGCTCTTTTTGCCTTGCAAAAGCATCTCCTCCTACGGCTTCAGCAACCACCAAAGAGCCACCAGTGTTCTACTTTCTGTCTCCCAAGGTGCAGGAATTCCACTGGCTCACTTAGTCCTCCAGTGGCAGGGAGCAACAATTTCCTGTTATGCTTTAGCTCTACCTTTCCTCTCTCTCTACCCTGAAATTCCTCAACTCTTGAAGCACCATGTAACCAATCCCCTAGAATAAAGTCCCACTGTGGTGAACACTGAGAGTGTTCTCTTTGTTCTAGTATTGACTGAAGAACTCCTGGAAATGAAATTCACGTTGTCTTAATTTATTTTATGTATATTCATAAACTTTCTTAAATCGTAATTTGAAACCCAGTAGCTACAAATAAACACATAATGAATAAGACTGAATATTCTTAATACTGATTTTTTTCTGGCTTGATAATATATGTATATGATACAAAATTCCTAAGGTACACAGAGTCTCCCTCTAAACTTTCACTCAACTCCCCAGCCACAGAGCTTCTCATGTCTCATCCTGCAGCAGCCACCTTACTTTCTGGCTGGTGCTTCAATGAGAGATAGTCTATGTATATGAAAGCATGCATATTCTCCATTCATCTTTTTCAAAAAAATGAGCTTGGTTCTATACCTTGTCTCTCTCTATAAAGTGTGTATCGGCAACACAAGTAGAGTGATCTTATTCTTATAAGTGGCCACATAATATCTTACATGAATGTATCATAATTCATTTAACCTATCTCTTAAACAATAGCCATTGAGTTTCCAATAGTTTGACATTGTCTAAAATGCTGCCTTATCTATCTCTCTATGTATATCATGCATGTGACTAAACATCTATTGGATAGATTCCCCAGAATGGGTCAAAAAAAGGAGTATGGAGATTTTAAATAGTAAAATTTTATTTTAAATTATCCCTGGTAGAAACTGTCACTAGTTTCTCAGCCCACAAGCCAGTATCATAGAATTTGTTTCCCTATGCACAATCATCTCTACCAATCTTTGCCAGTATACCAGGTAAGAATGGGTATTTCATACAGACATTTAATTGGAACTGCTCTTACCATTTTACTTATTTATTTTTATTATTATTTTTAAAAGATTTTTATTCATGAGAGACACACAGAGAGAGAGAGAGAAAAAGAGAGGCAGAAACACAGGCAGAGGGAGAAGCAGGTTCCAGGCAGGGAGCCCGAGCAGGACTCGATCCTGGATCTCCAGGATCAGACCATGGGCTAAAGGCGGCGCTAAACCACTGAGCCACTCAGGCTGCCCTGAACTGCTCTTACTACTAATGAATTTGAGAATTATTCTATGAGCTTAAGAGACATCTGTATTTCCTTTTCTCTGAATTTTTCTGTTGAGATTTTAATCTTTTTTCTGAGTTATAAAAAGAGGTGTTTGGGTTTTTTTTTTTTTTTTTTTTTTTTTTTTTACATGTAGGAAATTAGCTCTTCATCTCATATAAATTGCAAATATTTTTCTCCTTTAACATTTGACTTTCACCCTTGTGTTTGTTACTTCTGCTACATGGAATCTGGTAGTAGTAATAATAATGTCACTCTCTTCTTTCATGGCTTCTAGCTTCAGGTCAGATTTTAAGAAGGCTGGTCCCACTCAGAGTGTTAAAACAATTCTCCAATTATTTTTTCAAATACTCTAAGATTTCTTTTATTTCATGTTTACTTTTTTTTAATACAAATGGATTTTATTTGAGCTACAGTGCAAAGCTGATAAAAAAAACTCACTGCCAAATAGATTTGTATTTTTAGGGGTTTTCTAGGCCATCAATTTGAGCTTGAAATGTAAGCTGTATGAAACAGGCATGCTATCTAACCTGGATGCTATGGCATCCACTGTACTCCTACTACAGCCTCTGCACAGAGTCAACACTCAATAAGCACTGGTTCAGTTAATGATTAACTTAATAATGAGAGACTACATAATAGAAAATAATGCTGGGTACTTGCAGATATAAGATTTTATCTCAGCTACTTTAAAACTGTCTTCTTTTTTTAAAATATACATTCTATAAAATGCATGATTTCAATCATTTTTTAAGTGTACAGTTTGGCAGTGTCCAGGTATTCACAGTGTCATGCAACCAAGCTCCAGAACGTTTTCATCCTGCAAAGTGGAACTCTGTACCCATTAAATCACAACTCTCCATCCCCCACTCCCCTCATCTGACAACCACCATTCTACTTTCCATCACTATGAAGCTGATGGCTCTAGGTACCTCATATAAACAGAATCATACCCATATTTATCTTTCTGTGACTGGCCAATTTCACTTAGCATAGTGCCCCCAAGGCTCATACATGCCTTGTCACAACCTCCCTCTTTTTCAAAGCTGAACAACTTTCCATTGCATGTATATACCACATTTTGTTTATCACTCATTTGTCAGTAGATACCTGGGTTGCTTCAAAACTTCTTCAGTTTATATCAACCTAGCTTACCATGAAGCCTGAATTTTCTACACATTTATGCCACTTTCACTACACATTAACACAGCATTTGGTTTGTATTCACTGTTATAACTATTTATTACTGTACAAAGACAGACCATAAACACTTTTTTGAGTGGGACTGAAGCATGATTAGATTTGTGTTGTAAGATCTCTAAGGGATATGTGTTATAAAATATGTGCTGTAAGATCTAAAAGGGAGAACCAGCCCAGCTTGGAGACAGAATGTGCCTTATTCCACAGGCCATCCAGTAAATGACTAGAAAGGCTCGGCAGGGAAAATGTGTCAGTCTGAGCAGGTGTAATAATATGAAATGGCAGGCCCTGGGGCAAGTTGAGGTTAGCTCCCCAGCTTTCTAAAACATGTTCAAATTTAAAAAATAAATAAAACACAAGTCAAAGAAAACATTCTGCTGTTTACCTTACAGTCAGCCAGTTTCCTACTGCCACCTACTTCCTCAGCTCAAAACCACACTATATAGAAAATTTGTTTTCTCTTTCTTTTGCCACCAATTAATGCTATTTTAAGGTTGTTTGTTAAGCAATTTTAAAAAATTAAGATCCTAAAATCAAATATCCTTTGAGCCATATGCATAAGACCCTGACAAATTCACAAGTACCTTCAAAAATGTTTTAGCAGGTTGAAAATTTTATTTTATTTTTATTTTTATTTTTTTAGGTTGAAAATTTTAGAAATATTTTCATTTTATTCCAGGAACTATTATCATCAACATTCACATACGGTTCTTGAAGCCAGCCAGAGGGGCAAACCATTCTCAGAGGCATTAATGATCATTTATTAACTGCACCCATCAAATCTTTTCATTAGCTAAAATACTAAATAAAGATGCATGTTGACAATTCATGGTGCTTGTTTTCAGAAATGAACAGTATAGAGGGCAATTAAGACACACTTGAGAGATCTGTGAATTTTTTTAGTCATTTTCAGCTGTTCTGTGGCTTTAGTCTTTTCAACCAATTCTTAATTAAATGAATTTTGTCAGGAACACACACTTAGTAGTTTCTGTGCAAGGTGATAGTTTTGCATTAAGTCTAACATGAAAACCTCACCTTCAGAGACAACAGGCATGAGTTATAGGAAAAATAGTAATAACTTTACAAGGTAATCATTTTATAAGTTGTTCATTCATAAGAGCACTGGCTCCAGATACCTAAACCATGTCCTAGATGAGAATTAAGTGATTTTCAAGGTCATATTGAATCTGAGGTGCCTCAAAGATACTATTTCTTGACCAAAGAATCACTGACTGATATGCATTTAAATGTTTTCTCTTAAAAAAAAAAAAAAAAAGTTTTCTCTTCTAGGGGAGCCTCCTCTGCTTATCGGACACTGGCTTTCTGGAATGTTTCACTGACCTCTGTGGCTTGACGAAGCATCCTAAAGCAGAGGTTCCCAAATTTACCACTCCAGCACACATATAGGATCCTTCTTACTGTGCAAATATAATCAGGTGTCCCTAGATGAACAAATTTGAACACATCTCCGACAGATCACCCTCGCTCTCCTTCAGATCACACTCCCTCTCCCTGTAATCACTGCTAGCAGCTGTTATGTTAGCCCCTGGAGAACAATGGCTATTCCTCTTCATCTCCATTTCCCAGGGTCCAACAGAGTGAGCAGCACCCAGGCAGTGCTCACTTCAACTTTGCCTGCCAAGCAAATGAAGACTGAAAGACTTTCATTTAGTGGGTGACAAAGAAACAAGAAAAAAAAAAAAGAAATAAAAAACTTTTCCTTTCTTCAATACATTGTTAAAAATATTATAGCTACTGATAAAAAAAATACTATAGCTACTGATGATCTCTGAGAACTCACATGTTCATCTTCCTTCCATAGGTAATTCATTTAAAACCTAGAGTGTTTGGGGTACTGAAAAAAAATGTGATTTAACCATTTAAGAGCTATGATTCTTAAAGTTCTCTTATAACATGGAAGAAGGAGGAGGAAATTATCTTCTGGTGTTCACAATGGTATTACTGCCTTCTCTAGAACTCTCTTTTATGTTCACCTCCTGAGCTGTCAAATCAAGGTATCAGCAGATTCACCCACTCTAGATTTATTCTCCTGCCTTTACAGCTGCCTATCACCAACTCTCTAGGAATCTTTTCCAAGTGGACATCCTGGCTATGCTGTTGCACTTACACACAAGTATGACAAATGTTTCTAGGGCACCTAATATATCAGCCAAGCACTTTGCTGGCAACAAAGCAGTAAGCAAGGCTGTCCCCTCTGTGGTGTAGATTAGGATCTGCAAAGGTGAATGAAATAAGTAAAACAAAAAGAGATATGCAGAGGCATATAGATGAGGTGAATAGGGTTATGGAGCACATTCTGGAGCTGACTGCAGGGAAGTGTGGCTAGAACATAGTGACCACATGAAACAGTGGTCTCAGTGACCACCACCCCTACATAAGACACCCCACAATAAATGTCAAATGCATGGCTAAGCCAGTTAGTGACCTCATTCTCAGGGGGAGAATCCAACCACTGAAGTCCTCACTCAAGAATCCACCATAACTTCTTTTTAGCAGGTCACTAACTTGGCAACTCTTTGACAGTCTTGGAAATAACAATTCCTCTACCTGTCCACTGAGTCTTGGCTCTTTCTTCTGCTAATGTTTAGTCCCAGATGTTCCTGCCCCTTCTACTATCTTGAATATTCTGCTATCCGAGGGAGTCGTTCCTCCCATGTTCAAATAAGTGCTGTCTTCTCTTAACTTAAACACATTTGTTCAAGTCTTACTCAACTTTACCCTTCTATGACTGGCCTTATTGCCATCCTTAAATTTCTAGAGACAAATCAATCAAAAGAAAAAGTAAAGGCAGAAAGAGTGTGAATTCTGTTTTCTTAGAGGAATGTTGCCCAAATAAATGCAAGAAAATGCTCTGTAACAATTGGGAGCCCCAGGTGAACACAAACATACTCCCACATACACACTCACACACATATATACATACACATAGGACATAGGGTTATTAAGCTGGTTTCTCTTAGTAGTGGAGGAGTTAAAATAGTTTTGATTTAACTGTGGGACAAAGAAGCTTGCCTATGTAAACGTACAATCAGGGTCTGTGGGCTGGACCAAGGTCAAAGCAGGACTGTGATGCTCAAGACAGATTCTCTCCCTCAACAGCACAGAGGACAATTTCTCTGTCTTTGAAGCCAAAGCATATAATTATTAAATTGGCATAATTTAAGCTGTTTTCAGTGAAATATCACTTTCAGGTCATTAATATTCATCTCAAATCCCATTAGCTATGAAAGAATAGCAATTAGTTAAGTAATGTATATTATTAATAAAAATAACAGCTGACCTTTCTGGAGTTCTGAATGAGCACTTCCTCACATCAGCATACTCGATCCTGACAACATGCCCTGTTTCACAGATGATGATCCTGACATTCAGACGGGTGGAATCACACATGCTGGTGGCACCACAGGATTCAAACTCAGGTCTGCCTGACTTGCTTGACAGCCTGTGCTTCTAACCACTATGCTGCCTAGGATAATTCATGGGCTGGCACTGCAGTGCTACAGAAAAACATTGAGGCTAACATACACAGCAAAATGCACATGTCTGCATGCAACACTCACACCCCCACATACCTACACATATACGAACACATCTCATCAACATCCTATTCTGGAATACAAGGGAAATATTTTTCTTCGTCATAAACAACAGGGGAGCAAAACTGTGACACAATAAATAATCCTGTATCCTGGTATCCTCACAAATATTAGAGGAAAGTAAGCAAGGTAGTAAACATTTTCTGAAACAAGTCATTCACAGTGGCCTCCAAATGCTCAAGTACCTGGTTTTTCAGAGGCCCAAGGAAGCCTAGATTTTCTGCCATCCGCTGAGCTTGGCTGTCCTTTATCCCTTCCATAATGTCGATTTGCTCCTAGTAAAAATGAATTAAATAAGGATAATTCAGACAGGCAAATGAAAAGATTCACAACCTCGAAAGAAAATGCTTAGTATTTATTTGCAAATGAGTAATTAAAGTGTGGCGCCTTTCCAAAGATCTCTGAGCAGGGCTACTGCAGCTGCCTATAGGGTACATTTTAATTAGCAGACCATCTAAAAAACAGCCTTTCCAAAAACTATATAATTCTTCAGGGTGGCATGCTGACAAGACAATCGGATGCCAGTTTTCACTTTTAATTACTATACAGATGGCACTGACGAATATTTAGTCAGTTAATTTTTATGACATCTTTTGGAAAGCTTCCAAAGTAAGGTTTTCCTGTCTAATATTGCTGTTAAGTTTAGAGCCTGTCATACGTAGGTTAAATATTACCATATGATTTAAATAGTCTATTGATGATGATAATCATTAATAATACCTTAGCTCTACAAAGTGCCTTTCTCTCCAAGATACTAAGTGCTGTTCATATACCTTATTTCATATATTCTCTTTCCAAATGAAGTGACTTGTTTCAATCACATTGAAACAAACAATTAATTTTGAAAATGGCTAGATATTACTGGTAAGGCAGCATGTAGTCTCGACTGAACTTCCAAAGTAGTTAACCTAAATAGGTGATATTGGTGAAAACATTCTGAAACCAATCACCAAAGTACGAGTACCTGATTGGAACAAAGAGGTTCAAGAAATAAAATTCTCACTTTCTGAAGGGAAACAAAACCACCTTCTAAAAGAAATAATGAATCCTCCTGCTAAAATTTTTTTCCTTTTCCTTTTTTTTTTTTTTAAAGATTTTATTTATTTATTCATGAGAGTCACAAAGAGAGAGAGAGGCAGAGACACAGGCAGAAGGAGAAGCAGGCTCCATGTAGGGAGCCCGACGTGGGACTCGATCCCGGGACTCCAGGATCACGTCCTGAGCCGAAGGCAGGCACTAAACCGCTGAGCCACCCAGGGATCCCTCTGGTAAAAATTTCTAACTTGATTTTTTTTTTTTTTTATACTAGGAACCCAGAATTAAAGAACTAGAATTACAGTTCCAAAGACTGCAGATTTTTCTTACAGCTGAGGCAGGTTGAGAAGCACTTTATACACGTCACCTCATTCTTTCTCACAATTCTGTGGGGTGGAAATTACACCCACTTCTACTTTAGTGATTGAAAAAATGAGGCTTAGAAACACTGAGACCCTTGCTGGCTGGTTAGGATTTGACCTCAGCCAGATCTATGGCTAGAAACTAAGGATGAGGTTTAAAGGACTGAAACAAACGGATAGAATCTGGATGTTTGAAGGATTCTGTTTTATATTAGCAGTACTGAGAGACATGTAGGCAGTCTCCAGCTTACATCCAGTCTCCCAGGACAGAATTCCTGGATTCTACATATTGTGACATGGGGTACAGTTAGTTAATCCAGAGGAAATGGAAGACTCACAGTCCTCCCCCATTGGTTAATTCTTGGGCTAGGCTGGGTAGAAGAAATGAGAAAAGAAGGAAAAACAGGAAGGAGGAATAAAGGAAGGGAGAGAAAAAAGCAAAGAAAAAGACCTTGGATAGGGAGTACTTTGGTTCTAGCCAAGTTTAACTGAGTGCTCAGAAAAGAGAAAGGACTCAACATCTTTGTGCCATAAATCCCAGAAACTAATGTACTGCAACCAGCCTCAGACTGCACATTAAATCTTTAACAGCTTGTGCAACAATAATCAATGAACACAGCATAGCCAGGAATATAAACATACCTTAAAAATAAGTTCTGGATTCGAAGCTGCCACTTCTTCAATGTCAACACCCCCCTGAGGGCTGCCCACCAGTACAGGGCCATTGCAGGATTGGTCCATCAGAATGGCCAGGTAGGTTTCTCTGGAAATGTCCAAGGCTTCAGCAACCATCACCTACCACATTAGCGAGAAAGTCAAATTAATTCAGTATTGAGCTCAGTCCCACTTGGAAATCTATATAAACTTGCCACACAAAGCAAACAGCTTCATTTTCAGGCTCTTGAAACCCAGTGAGCTAGCTACCAGAGATTTGAGAGTTCTGCTCTCATGATACAGAATGCCCAGTTTCACCTCCTTAATTGATCCTGCTAACTTGCTCAAGTGACAGGTATTTGGTTTGCCTCAAGGAACCTTCCTACTTTAATCTTCTTTTTTTCTTCCTTGAGAAACCCTGACACTTAAGAAAAACTCCAGGGAAGCGGTTGTTATTTTAATTTGACACATTAACAGTACATACATCTTACTACACAGATTCTTCTCAGATTTTGCACTGGTGGAAAACCAGGTTTGTTGCCAAAGAAAGGATTCTTTTTACAGTATGTCTGATGCTTCCCAGGTTTGTATACCTCTATCTCCTGGATCACTGTATTTTTAATTCAATTTCTACTTTATTTTAAATTATAAGTATACTATTTGCTTGTTCAAAAACAATGCAAAAGGTATCAAAAGTACATAAACGAGACAATGATAGCAGCCCCCTCCTCTGCATATTCCACCCTCGGACCTCAGGAATCAGGGTGATCAGGAGCCCAGATGGAACCTTTGTGATCATCAAAAAAAAGCAGCACTTTCCTCTGTGCATGCCAGGATAGTGCCTGGGTAAGAGGCAAGTGGGATGGAAGGATTTTATTCTGTGCTCACTGCCTCAGCCAGCTGTCCTTTTGCTCAGCACAACCTCAACAATTGTGTGTGACAGGCCTACCAGGAAAAACCACTACCAACTTCTTATCTCCTTCCTATGAATCTACAAGCATTATAGTAGTAGAGACATCCTGCATATGGAAGCATATTATATCTACTTGAATGCCTCTTTTTCTTCTTGTTCTTAATATTACAACTTGGAGATCTCTCTAAGGTCTTCTACTTTGTGACTAGATGGCACTTGTATGTCAATATTCATTTAATCATGTCCCTACTGACATTTTTTTTAAAGATTTTATTTATCATGAGAGACACACACAAAGAGAGAGACAGAGACAAAGACAGAGAGACAGAGACAGAGAGAGGCAGAGACAGGCAGAGGGAGAAGCAGGCTCCATGCAGGGAGCCTGGTGTGGGACTTGATCCTGGGTCTCCAGGATCACACCTTGGGCCAAAGGTGGCATTAAACTGCTGAGCCACCGGGACTGCCCTACTGACAGACATTTATGTGGACTCCAAATTTTTTTCTTTAAATGCTACTTCAGTGCTTATTTTTGTACATATACCTTTGCTCATGTGTTTTAGTATCCCTGTAGATAAGGTACCTAAAAGTAAAATGGCTACGCTTTAGACTCTTCATATTTAAAAATTCAGTGAGTACCACCCAATTGCCCTAGAGAGAGATAGGCTATACCAACTGACATTCCCAATAAAAATAGTTAAAAGGTGTCTTGGATGATTTTTTTTAAAGAAAAGAATATTCCTAACTAATTAGTACTAAAAGTGAAATAAAACACACTGCCTTTCCTAAAAGCAGTTCAGTAAAAGATTTGACAAAAAAAGTCAGATTAAACAGCATTACATGTTAACTACCCAGATACCATAAAACCACTAATTTTAAGTCACATGAAATGGGATAAATATATGATGATCTAAAAAGCCATGAAGTAATGAATACAGAACTTCTTTCAAACACATCACCAGTTAAAAATAAAATATCTTATAAGAGCCTTCATATTGATTCTCTTATCATAAATGGTAACTCATGACTATGTAAGAAATACTTCTTGGCACACAGTGTTAGGATTTTCATAGAAGCATGCTGTTTTCTAGTTCACTTTCTAATAAGAGCTAGTCTAGAAAAGGAGATTTAATGATTTTCAGTAGTTATTCTGAGAAGCAACACAACATTATAACTTTTTCGGATGTCATTCAAGAGTCCTATTCTTAATCTTCTAAAATGTTGACAGATGTGCTCTGCATTCTATCAAATTTCTATTTGTAAAGACCAGCTGCTATCTCAAATGGCTTCTGTTTGGTAGAAATAACGTATCACTCTTTAAGAAAACATTCCCAGGAAAATGATGATTATCAATGGATAATTCAAGATATTTTATTTCAAGATCAGTTTTTTTGACATTACCATGCCCTCCATATAGCCCAGGATGTCAGAATATTTTAAGCATCGTTGTAGAGAGAGTCTAAATGGATTCCAAGAACATTCATCCCATGAGGACCTCAGCTAATATATTTCAAAACTGTGACTTCATCTGTGACTGACACAACACTACCTTTTTGTGGAGTCTTCCAGGGTGGAAAGCTTTTGGGAACTACTGGACCACTGAACCTGGTTGGTTGGTTTGTTTTTGTCTTTAGTATCGTGCCATTGAAACTGTAATCTGTAGAGGAGTACCAGTGTACAAACTATTTGTAACAGGACCATGATTAGATAAGATTAAAAGTATACTTGATTTCTGAACTTCTCTCGTTGTAGGGCAGTAACCTTGGCTGGTATTGATTCGTGAAGAACATGATGAGTAGCATAGTCTCATCTACTCTATTATTATTCTAGGGAATACACCAGAAATGCATTGGCACAGACTTAGAAAAAAATATCCAATGTGTACAAATGTATGTATGAGTTTAAGCCACTTCTCAAAAAAACTTAGAAAACTAAAGTTTCTATTCTATAAAGGGAGGAGTTCTGACTGCTGTCCAAGATTTCGTAAGTTAAAAGAAGCATGTTCCTTAAAGTCACATAAAATGGTATTGTTATAGGAATGTGGTGACATAAATTTTACACAGAAAAAGGACTGAAACGATATATGGCATTATTTCAGGGGGGTGAGAAGCCCAGGAACTTTTACTTTCTAATTTTTATATTTCTCTCAGATTGAAATTTTTTACAAGTGTGAATCACTTTTACAATCAGGAAAAAAAAATTACTTAAAAGTAAATCATTCTAGTCGTTTCCTGGCAATGACTCAATGTACAAGCATGCACTTATCTCCAGCCTTTCAGAAACCTATCTACAAACTAATTTTATGCATTACCATACAGCGTGAATCTGCTGTAGGTATTTTTATATGCTTTAAAAAAGTATCACAAACTCTAATCTAAAAACTCATGGAGCCATATAAAACAACAAATTCCTACAAACAAAAGTACTAATTATGTCCTCTGCAGACAAATTTTGAAGAAGTTAACACAGGTAAAGGCTCATAACCAGATTTAAAAGGCAAATAAAAGCACTGTGTTGGGCCAAAAAAAGTCAAAACAAAATACTTTTGTGTTTTAAACAGTTCTTACAACACAGAAGCCCTGGGAAAGACAAACCAGCATAACCAGTTTTGTCAGTGTGCTATCTTGACATCTACAAAAGCTTTATAGATGTCCCTCAGAAGGAGGGAACTAATGACCACCAGTATTTCCAATCTCCTTCTTCCAGATCAAGATAGACCCAAGACAGCCCCTGTCATGGTATACTAAGAACCAACTGGCAATTCTTTTTCTTTTTTTTTTTTTTTTTGGTCATGTCAAAAATTTTCCACACAACCCACTGTGAAAAATAAAAAACACAGAATACTACCTCAGGTCTCCCCTGCACCAAGCACGGCACATGGGTGAGGACCATGATCTAGAATGCTGTGTCAACCAAGCAGACAGACGCTCCCCAAAATGCTGGGCCTCCATTCACTGTTATGACGGAGCCTTCTAACCATCTGTGCCTGACAGGGCCAGAGTGTGTGACCTTGTAATCACATAGGGGCCAACACTCAAAGGTCCCTGTCTTGGTCTCTTGGTGTAATGTTTCGCTATAGCTGACTCGAAATTTGAACAAGGGCTCCTGCATTTGTTTTTGTACTGGGTCCTGCAAATCAGGTAGCCAGTTGTGGTGCTTCTGTGCATGAAAAGGGCACAGCAAAGATGGACAGACTGATGGAAGCAGAGTTAGGTTCTGGCCTCGGCTCCACCACTTAAAATTTTATGACTAAGGCAGGCCACTTTACTTGGGGGTTTGGGTTCTGCGTGTGTGTGTATGTGCATAATGTACACCCTTTGGACACGAGAACCCCAAAAAGATTGCTAAGACACAATACTTGCAGTGATAATAATGGTATTAATCTCAAAGTAGGGGAAAGGGACACTTAGAAAAACAATCATAGCAGGTAATTCTGATACACAGGATGAAGATGTGGTTGTGGAGGAGCAGAGACTGTCCCACCCTGAGTAATAAGAGCTATTGTACAAAGCCCTTTCCAGCTTTAAACAGCACATGCCAGTGTTCTGAAAGGGAAAGCTGTTGATTCCATCACTCACCTGTACCCATTTTTTCTAAACGCTAATGATAATAAACACTAGTACTATTAAAGACCCCTTTTTATTTCTCCTTAAAGAATACCACAACCTAAACAGATTATATGAGGTTTAAAAAACAAAATAGCATATCACCAAAGTGCATTGCTTCATCAGATTGTCAAAACTGCAATATGATTTTCTCTTCTTTCTAACACATTCACAGAAAATGACCCAAAGCATTTGTATTACCTTGTTAACTTTCACACCTTCTTTTGGAGTTTGTTTTGTTGCTAGATTATATCCAATCATCTGTTTAGCCAGCTGTCCTACAACTTGAGGGCTGAGAGAGAGAGAAGAAAAAAAAAAAATCAATGGCTATGCTGAAAATTATTTTAAAGCAGAGTGCATACTATGTCCTCATGTCCACACTGCACAGGGTCCAGCTCCACCCTCACAGAGCCCACAGGCCTTTCTGTTCACATATTAGGTGCCTAGCACTGTACCAGAGGAAGGGAGGGAGGGAGGGAGGGAGGGAGGGAGGGAGGGAGGGGAGAGAGGAGGGGGCAGAGGGAAAGGGAGGTGAGCAGAGGGAAGGGGAGGAAATTTTTGCTTCCCTCTGCTATCCTCTCACCAAAATAAGTTATAGTCACACTGCTGAAATTCATAACAGATTTAGATAAGAAATAAATAACAAAGACCTGACTTGGGCAGTGTGAGAAGTATTGGCCACTAAGAGCATAGGAGGGTAAGATTCAAAGTAAATAATGAAGGTTTGTAACAGGAAAGGAGAGGAAAGTGGGCAGTGCTGGGCCCCTATACAGGAAGGCTCAGATTATTAGACAGGAGGGACAACTGAAACCACTGGTGCTGGGGAGCCACTGCAGGTTCTAGAATAGGGAAGTGACAATATGGAAGCAACATTTGTGTTATAATTCTCAACATTTGCGATGAATCACTGATTGTGACAGAAGAAGTGCTGGGTTTTCACCAATTAGGGAAGAAAAATCCACTTATGAGAGAAAGAACACTAGGGCACTGTAGTGTCCTCTACTTGTAATTCACTCTCTCTATTTGCTACCTCCTGTTCCCACCACATTCCTACCATCTTTCTCATGCTCCCTTCAATCATGAGCAAGATCTGCCATAACTGCTTAGCCCAAAGACACAGAATTAAAATCTCCAGACTTACTCTTTTGTTAAATGAACACCTCCTTTCAAACCGCTACTGAAGACACCTTTTCCTCTTCCTCCAGCTAAGATCTGGGCTTTCAAAACAAATTCTTTTGCATCTGAAAAAGAAAACCCAGAGCCAGTAGTGGAGTTTAATTTTTTTTTTTTTTTAAGCAACAAGCAATGTGGAAATACACATGCTTTCCAAAAGTGGTAAAAGCTCTCTTAAACTAACTTTGAAAATAAAGGCATAAAGAACTTCAAAAAAACATCAGTGCACCTAAAAATGAAGTCTTTATTGAGGATATTAAAATATCTCTTGCCAGTTTAATCTAATACTCAACCATTCCAAGAGAAAGCAAGGCATGTGTTCTCTTGCTCTTTTGAGTGTCAAAAGATGCTAAATAAACCTGGGCTGGAGGTATTAATTTTACTGTGCAACAATACTCTCATGTGGCAGAGGCACCAATCCGCTAGTCAGAAGAGCTAACTACCTGTCAGCCACCAGAGATGTCAAAGGGAAGGCTGGAGTACATGGGGAAAGGTTTAGGACAAGATGCAAAGGGAGTGGTTAATAACTGTATTCTTAGAAACCAATAGATTTCTGAGTGGTTGCTTTAGATATTGATGGGACTGGATAAGGGAGGAGGAAATGGATTAAAACTGAAAGCAAGCAGTATTTCTGAAACGTTGGCAGGGTAACAAAACGTCCTAGGGGAAAGTGGTGGTGGAATTTTCATTTCTCGATACACTCAAGGAAATGGGGGAAGTGTCTGCTTTTGACCTTTGAGACCTGAGTCATAAACTCAAATATCTTATTGGGCCTGGCTCAAAAGTTGCATGTGTAAAGAAGCCCAGTGATGGAAACGAGGCCTTCAGCAAACAGGAGAGCTGCTGTCCCCCTCTGTCCCTCTGCCATGCAACCACCAAAAGAATAATAGGAGAAAAACAAAAAACAAAAGCCTTCTAATAAAACAGATTTCATACACCAAATAGTACACTTCTTCAGGCCACAACTGGCATCCTCTGTTGGTCCTTCATCTTTGTCTAAATTCAGAAAACTAAGTCAATCTTCTATGAGGCTTTAACAGTTTTCTGATTTAACACACCAGGTTTAGAATCTGCAGAGTGAGTTTCAATCAGGCCTTCATCCCTTACCCCGGTGTTGACACCGGTCAAGTTACTTAATGTCTCTGATACTCAGTTTACTCAATTGAGAAAATATGATGTGGATTTTTTTGAGAATTAAGTCATACATGTGAATAATAATTTACCCCAAGAGCCTGAAAACTCCTACGATTGATGAAAAATGACTGTCACAATCAGTTAGTTCATTTTATTACCTTTCTGTATTGTAAAGAATCCAAAGGATTATTTCCACTTGGGCAGATATGAGTAAATAAGAATGTTAATAATAATAACTTTGCTGGTGTCTGCCACCATTCATATAAGGTGAGGGCTCCATAAGTGTTGGCTATTTCAGCTATTTCTATCACTGTTCTTGTGACTCAAGGCAAGCAGGCAAAAGTTTGAAGAGAAGGAGCCACAGATGGTTTTATCATGGGAGCTACAGAAAGATTTGACATTATGACAGCATTGGGTAAGACAGTCACTCTAGCTGATATAGTCAGATTATTAGGGCTCATTTTCTTATTGGTTGGTCCTTCTTTCTCCTATATTTGCGTACACTCAGGAAACCAGGTTTCACCTTCTCTCAGCAGCAAACAGCTCCTTTGCTGCCTTGGACGACCTCCGACACTTGTTGCTGCCAGAGATATGAACCATCATAACATCAGTCAAACCCATGTCTTTTGATAAACTGGCTCACATAGAACTAGGTAAAAAAACAAGATATGATGACAATTTATTATCAGAATCACACCAGGAAAGAAGTCATGCAGAACAAATTTATTTCATTATTAGGCTATTGTATGTGAGGATAGCAGTAAGAGCAAGGACTCTGTAGTCAAACAGACCTAAAATCTCCAACTCTGCCTATCACTTTCTTTGTAGAGAGGAAAAGAAAGAGGCTCAGAAAGCTAAGAGTGATATGCCTGTCTATAAAATGGTTATAATGAAGTAATCTACAGTGTTAGGATGATGTGAAGAATAAATGAGACATGGTAGGTAAAGTGCTTATCCCTATGCCAGGCACATTACAAAGAAGTCAAAGTATGATAGCTATCATCACTAATTATTTTCAGCAATTAACCCAAAAAATGTCATATAGGAAAACATTTCCTATTTCTTTTCTGAAGACATAAGTGGAAAAATACTTCTTGCTGTCTACTCAGTTTTAATTGTGATCACTTCAAATTCCTTAAAAAGGATAACCAGCATTCCATTGCTATTATCAATTTTCATATGCTTGTCATCCAGAAGAAAGAGATGCTTTTCTCTACGAGCTTTCCAGCAGCTAAACTTGAAAGCCAAACAGAATACCTAATTGGGCACTGTTAATTGGCACTGCATAGGCTAAATTAAATCAGCCTTAGGCATGAACCATCAAGATAGAGAAGCAGCTGTAGCCTCAATGAAGTGCTATCAATTACACGTGTCACCATTTGACCACTTGTCAAAAGACTCCATGCCACCAAACTGGTAGACCAAACAACCGCTTGGGTTCTATGCAGCCAAATTGAGACAGGTAGCAAAAGACAAAGGAAAAGACTGTCCAGGGCAGCCCAGGTAGCTCAGCAGTTTAGGGCTGCCTTCAGCACAGGGCCTGATCCTGGAGACCTCGGATCGAGTCTCATGTCAGGATCCCTGCATGGAGCCTGCTTCTCCCTCTGCCTGCGTCTCTGCCTCTCTTTCTCTCTGTGTCTCTCATGAATAAAAAATAATAAAAAAAAAAAGACTGTCCAATCTACGTACATCTCCTGCCACTTAACCTCAGGCCAAAAATAAGTTCACTAAAATCATCTCTTCTTATTAAATCATAAGCGCTAAATCAGTGTAGTATGTCAATACACCAAAGAAAATCAAGTTTTTCTCGTCACTGAAACTCATATGAAGTAATTTAATTCAGTTATTTACTCAAAGAGCTAAAAATTAAGTGGGCAAGTCCTATTGAACAGTATCTAGTCTTTTCATTCAATATTAATCAAGTTGATTTCACACAATGTCACTGTTTCCATTTTATTTAAAAATCTGACTTCTCCAAATACAAAAGTTTCTGGGTTTTTCTGTTTGTTTTTCACATCACCTCCTTATCCCCAAACAAAATTATAAAAGAATATCCCAGACACGAAATCCAATTTTTATCTAACATAAGATGATTTAACCATACTTTAGGATAACAAGCTAAAAAAAAGAGATGGAGAAAAAAAAAAAAACATGTATTGCATGGAAATATATTACCACTTATATATTTTTTAAAGATTTTATTCATTTATTCATGAGAGACAGAGAGAGGGAGAGAGAGAGAAAAGCAGGCACAGGCACAGGCAGAGGGAGAAGTAGGCTCCATGCAGGGAGCCCGATGTGGGACTCGATCCCGGGACTCCAGGATCATACCCTAGGCCGAAGGCAGACGCCAAACCACTGAGCCACCCAGGAATCCCCCATATTGCCACTTATATACTGATAACCATATTACTGGACTTCTAGTTGTTAAAAACCCAGGTAAGTATTAACTCCAACTTCTTTGCCCTTAACAACTATTCTTATATGCAGCAGCCTAAACATGCAATACATTCACTTCAGTTTTTTTTCCTTTCTGGTGAATTTCTGTTAATCCACAGTGATCATGGCTAGGATTCCACTTGGTTAGATGGGAATCAGTTTCTATAATGTGTAAATATTTTATGATAAGAAGGACTATAAGTGACATATTTGATAAGCTTATAAATATGTAAGATTCTCTACCATATCACTTATGAGAATAACATCTGTAGCCATATAGGAAGCCTAAAAAAAACCCATGCCATGGTCTTGTTCTCTATTAGCCACATTAAAATAGTGCTTTCTCAAATGTTTTCCTCTCATTCCTTACCACAAGTGTCATTCTAATTACAGTAACAGTTTTTTTTTTAAAAGATTTTATTTATGGGATCCCTGGGTGGCGCAGCGGTTTGGCGCTTGCCTTTGGCTCAGGGCGCGATCCTGGGGACCCGGGATCGAATCCCATATCGGGCTCCCGGTGCATGGAGCCTGCTTCTCCCTCTGCCTGTGTCTCTGCCTCTCTCTCTCTCTCTGTGTGACTATCATAAATAAATAAATTTAAAAAAATTTAAAAAAAAAAAGATTTTATTTATTTATTCATGATAGTCACAGAGAGAGAGAAAGAGAGGCAGAAACACAGGCAGAGGGAGAAGCAGGCTTCATGCAGGGACCCCGATGTCGGATTTGATCCCGGGTCTCCAGGATCGCGCCCTGGGCCAAAGGCAGGCACCAAACTGCTAAGCCACCCAGGGATCCCCAATAACAGTTTTATATAAATTTTTATAGTTCCCCAATAGTCTCAGGCTGGATAATAAACATTCTTGGAAGCGTTATCAAATCTAAAAGAAAAAAAATTAAATTAATTAAGGAAAGCATAACCTAAAGAGAATAAATAAGAAACGTTTTTAATCAGGCAAGCTTTGTAAAACTGGTTCCCTGTGCTTTTCAGGGACAGCATTCTGAAAATCTATTTATGCAAAATAATGCTTACAAGAAACAGCTCAGAATTGTAATGCAAAAGGACCTAGTAAATGTCTGAAATGTTTTTCAGGAGTATCAATAAGAATGTTATTTTCAACTAACTTTTTAAAACAGTTTAGTGATTCAACATTGCTCTCTTTAAAAATATAACAGTTTTCTAAATACAAATGTATCATTGTATACATCAAGATTATGAAGGTGATCATCTATTTTGAGTCAATAACATTGGAGTTGTTGGGGGGAACTATGAATTCCATGGTTCACCAACCAGAGCAAAATTGGAATATCCAGTTTTCAGCACAATTGCATGGCATAATTTCCAGCATGGAGATCACCTTTCATGAGGTTTGAGAGGATTCTTAATTGAGAAAGTTACAATGTATTTCAGGTTGATCTATCACTAGAAGGTAAGAAGGAGGAGGAGCGTGAGGCAGGAGAAAAGTCTAAGATATTACAGAAAGAGGAGCCTTTATAA